AAGGGGAGACAGAAGGAGGGGGAGAAAGAGAGAGACAGAGACAGAGAGAGAGAGAGACAGAGAGAAGGAGAAGGAGGAAGGAAGGAAAGAAAGGAGGAAGGGAGGGGAAGGAAGAGGGAACAAGGAAGGAAGGGAGGGAAGGAAGGAGGAAGGGAGAGAGGAAGGAAGGGGAGATAGAAGGAGGGGAGAGAAGAGAGAGAGAGAGAGAGAGAGAGAGAGAGAGAGAGAGAGAAAGAAGGGGAGAAGAGTCACCATATCCCCTTCAAAGAACATCCCCAGTGACCTAACTTCCTTTCTCTGGGTCCCACCTCCCAGCAGTGCCATGGGTAGGGGACCAAGCCCTGAAAACATGGGCCTTTGGGGCCCACACTCCAACTATAGCACACGTCCATTTTCTCTTCCACTGTTTAAGCAACCTTTCACACTTTGGGAGCCCACAGGTGTCTCACACTACAAATGCACAGGAAAATACAGTTAGGGCTCAGGCAAAAGCTGTTGGGGACAGAATGGAGAGTCCCGAGGGGCTGAGAGGAAGCACCTAGAGCCAGAGGACGCCCCCCAGGTGCGAGTGTGGAAGCAGATGCTCGGGACGCTCCCAGTGACTGGGAGGCTCAAATGGAGAATGTCTATTGCTTACAGTTCTGGAGACTCGAAAGCCCAAGATCAAGGTGCCGGCATGTCTGGTTCTAGCCTTTGCTTCCTGGTTTGCAGATGGATGTCTGGTGCAAACCAGAGATGAAGGGCAAGCAAGGCCTTCTTTTTTTTTTTTTTTTTGTCTTTTCTTTTTTGGTGCTGGGATCGAACCCAGGGCCTCACGCATGCTAGGCAAGCGCTGTACCACTGAGCTACATCCCAGCCCAAGCAAGGCCTTCTTATGAGGACCTTAATCTCATCCGTGCGACCGCCATCCTTCTGACCTAGTCACTCCCTCCTGAGACCACCACCTCGGGCTCAGGATTTTGGAGTGGGACCGCAGAGTACGTCTCTGTCTGAACTGGAAGTCTGAGCAATCTAGTTGCTATTTAGCAAATTTGGGGGTAAAGCAGCTATGTCAGATAGAAGGACTCAATGGTTTGGAGAACAAGCCATTCCTTTTTTTTGGTGGAACTGGGGTTTGAACTCAGGACCTCGTGCTTGCTAGGCAGGTGCTCTACCACTTCAGCCACTCCGCCAGCCCTTTTTTGTGGTGGGTTTTTTGGAGCTAGGGTCTCGAGAACTATTTTCTAGGCTGGCTTTGAACTGCAATCCTCCTGATCCCTGGCTCCTGAGTAGTAGCTGGGGTTACGGAACTTTTCAAGAGTTAATTCTGTAAAAAGAATTAACTGAATCTGAGGCGGAGGCTGGCGTGTCTGACTTCAGATCTGCCTTCCTGAGACAAGGACGCCATTGTCAGGGGACATCTGCTTCCAGATGGGCTGCAAGCATCTGCTCATCTAATCTCCTGTTGTCCCCGAAGGTAAACAGAGGCAGGCTCCTGTGTCCTTGAGACAGCATCGTTGTCCTTCTCTGCCAACACCTGAACACTGGGGTGTTTAGATTGCAGACGACTATCCTGTGCGTAGTCATAACATTGGTGGCCTCATGACCTTTGCTCTGCATGACGGACTCCCAGGACAAATACTACTTCCTGGTGAATGGCTGAGGGCCCTGCCGATCTTGTTATCAGGATGGTATGACAAAACAGAAAGACCAACCCATTTGTTAGGCAAACTTGTTTGTTTGAGCTTCCAGGCTGATACATAAACCAAGGCAAATATTGACTTCGCTTTTCAACTGGATTCCTTTGTGTACATGTGACTAACTCCCGACAGAGGGGACACCTGCTTGAGTGGCTGTTACGGGTTAGCTTCGGGTCACTGGAGGGACAGGTCCAGTCATAATAGCTGGTGTTTCCTCCTTTACTCTGTTGATTTAAACCGTGTTTGAAATGACAGGAGGGGGATAAAGGAGAGTAATGGAGGGGGTGCATTTAAGCATGGTATATTTGATATATTGTAAGAACGTTTGTAAATGTCACAATGAACCCCCACCCAGCACAATAATAAAAAAAAGAAAAGAAAAAGAAAAAGAGAGAAAGAAAGAAGGAAGACCAAAACACAAAACAGAATACAAGAAGGGAAGTGGCCATGTACCCTGCTCTCCTGAGGTGAAAATTCAATTGAGAATCCTTTCCCAGAGTGCTTAGAGGCAGCCTTGGGCTCCCTGAAATGCAAGCAGGGCCACCGAGAGGCTGGATTCTGTGCTCAGAGCTTAATCAATTAACTCCAGCAAAACGAGGGGGTTCCCAGTGTTTACGGAGCTCTGGACCTCTCTTAAGTCATCACTTAGATTTTCAGCGCGTTATTGTCCAGAACAAGGACGACAGGCACAGCAGTTGGGAAGGGAAACTGAGGGGCTTGTGGGCCACCTCCCCGCTGACACCCTAAAGAGGTGTCAGGATTCACCCAAATTAAACCCAATTTAGCCTGAAGCAATGACAGCTCTGTTCAAAGTTATTTGTGTCTTCATAGGAAAATTACAGCTCTTGGACCTGGGATCCCTTGAGATTTGTGTATTTTTTTTTTCTGATCTTAATATAGAACACAAATTTGACTCTCATTTATATTCTCAGAGACTGATTGCAGAAGTCTGACTCATGAATGCAGGAAAGCCACCGCCACCGTGGGCACTGGCGACGACAGTGGAGAAGTAACTTCTAATAACACGTTTTAATGACACTTTGATTGGCAGGTGGCTGGGGGGAAGGTGAGCTCTGAAGGCCGGGCTGGGCTGGTCACCTGCACTGCACAGAACGAGTCGCTGAACGGGTGACTCGTTCAAGGTCACAGAAGGAAGTGGGCTGTGGGGTCCCCCGCTCGGTCACTGCCTTGTCTCTACCCCACAGAGCCCGCTGTCACCTTGCGGAGTCTTCAGGTGAACTCGAATCCTTGCTAAATCTCTTCTCTGAGTTTTGTAAGCGATCCAGGGACGTTGTACTCGGTGTCAGGGTTTGAAAATGGATTCTGCATTCTTCTCCCAAGAACTTGCAGCCGTCATTTTGCTCTTGCAACTCCCATTCCTGCCGTGCTTTTTAAATTATTTTGTTGGTTTGTCTGTGAGAGAGAGTCAGTTTATTACAGCTGAAAGGACAAGGAAAGAACTTCAGTCACAACAGGAATAACCACCAGCAACAACTGAAGGTTTATTAAATGCCAACCGTGTTTTCAAACTTCGCTTTTAAGCACTGGCCTCTCCCTTAGCCACTTTTGGTTGATAATGAAACCCTTGAGGCAATTAACTTATTGAAAGAAAAGTGGGGGGGGTTAAAGGAGAATGATGGAGGGGGTGAATTCAGCTATGATGCATTTTAAGAACTTTGGAAAAGTCACAATGTATCCCCAGTCCTATAATAACAATTAAAAATAACAATAAAATTAAAAAAGAGAAAAGATGCCCATGGTTTGGCCGTTGCAGTCTAAGATCGAGTGGCCTCATAGCTTTGGCCTTTCCCATGGGACCGTGGAGGACACTCATCCAAACCGTGGCATCAGGATTTGAACCTGGATCTCTGGCCCCTCCGCCATGTTGACGGGCACTTTTCATGGGCCTGAGCTCGGAAGTCAAGATTCCTTTTACGGAACTGAGTACCATTTATTCTTGGGAGAATATCCAACGGGGGCGGGAAGGGAGACTGTAAGGATTGTCATTTTCTGTTTTTCCTGTTCCAAGAGCAGTTTTACCTTTTTTAATCTTAAAATTCCACACACAAAGAGCATAAGGGGATTTCACGGTGATCATTCCCTTTGCGCATATGGTGGACCCTTACTATATTTCTGCTCCCCCTCTTCTTCCTTCCCCCCCATTTTCAAACAGCATTTGGCGGGTTCATTGCGCCGTCCCCATGTCCGGCCATCCTCTTCCCCGGTCGGGGACCAGAGTCAACCCACAGCCCAGCCTCTGGGAGCGTTGCTCTAACGTTCAGCTCTTTCTTTGACCGAAGCAGAGAGAAGAACCCTGCTCCCCACATGGACTCGTCACGTACACGGAGAACACGGAGCCCCACGCCCAGCAGGCAGTGGGGGCCTTACAAGTGTCAGCCGTCACTTTTGTTGCTGATTCTATTAACCAGAAAACCTACCAGCAAGGGCGGGACAGGCGGCATCTGGTGTGGGTCCAGTCCTTTTGCAATGGCCTTTAAGCTCACAGTTCAGTTGCTGAAGCAACTGAAGTAGAGAGGGGCTGACTGATTCATCCCGTGTCCCCAAGAGCGTTAGTCCTCTTTCTGTCACCAAAGGAAGAAGCATTTGTTTCAGCTCAGTGTCAGAGGTTGGCCAAGTCCCTCCGGGCCCATGGCAGAGGAGGCTGCTTGCCTCGAGGGTGCTACCTAGTTTAGCACCCTCGATTAGCAATCTATCAGTCATCAATAAATAACTTTTAACACAGAACCACCTCAGATGACCTAGGACATCTTCCTAACTGCCTCTCAAAGGACGTGACCTTGGGAAAGTAGACTTACACACATGAACGAGATCGCTTAGTGCAGACCATGCCTAAAACACTAAGATTTTACTTCAAGATTCTCATTTACGGAATTTGATTCCCACACCAAGCCTTATAAATTTGACTTCTTTTCTTTTGCAATGCCGGGACTTGCTCAGGCACCACCGAGTTATTCACCCAAGTTTTTGGGTTTTTTTTTTTTTTTTTTTTTTTTTGGTGGGACTGGGGTTCGAACTCAGGGCATCACGCTTGCAAAGCAGGTGCCCTACCTCTTGAGCCACACCTCCAGTCCATTTTGCGCTGATAATTTTGGAGATGGGGGTCTGGCTTCCAATTGTGATCCTCCCGATCTTAGCCTCCCAAGTGGCTAGGATCACAGGCGTGAGCCACCAGTGGCCAGCTTGCACCGTGCTTCTTAAGAGGAAGAACAGTCAGTTCTAACCTGTGGCTTTTCACCCGTGACCAGGCCGACTTCTGTTGCTTCATGTTGTCTGGGTTTGTGCAAGGAGCAGAGGGAGGCCTCTGTCTTGGTGAGGCTGCTGGGCTGCACAGGTCTGGGAAGATGATAGAGCTGGAGTAGAGAAAAAGAGCCCAGAAGAGTCCTGGCCCCATATAAGGTGACCATCAGGAGCAGAAGGGCAGGGTCTGGAGGGGCACAGAATGACCAGTGGGGGATGGACAGAAAGAAGAACTGGCAGAGTGTGCGAGGCAGGTGGAGGGGAAGCTCTGGGGACTGATTTTCTAAACAGAGCATAGGATAGCTGACTGGGTTGGGTATGCCATGCAAGAGAGGCCTAGTGGTGGTTTTAATTCTTTTTACATAAAATGGCCTCTTTGGGCATAGGACCACGGTCCCCATTCCTCCTCCAGGACCAATCTTCACTGCCTATCACTGAGAGCCCCACAGGGCACTTTCAGCTCCATAAAGGCAGCTTCCCCTTTGATGTAAAAAAGACACAGAGGCAGAGTCTAAGGCTGAGACCAGGCAGGCAAGTTCGAGTTCTCAGTGAGCCTGGCGCCATTGTTCCTTCTCTTCCACTATTTTAGCAAGCGTCTTCCACACCCAAGATGGCCCCATCAATCAAGATGGTCGTTGGTCACCGAAGCCTCAGTGTGGCACTCAGAAGGTAAGGGCAGGGCAGAGAGGGCACCTCTTGGCTGCGTCAGCCTCTGATGGAAATGGAGTCTAAGAGTAGACTTTTAACAAGGCTCTTCCTTCTGCAGGCAGCTCAGACCGTGCATCACGCAGCTCTGCGAGTGAGGACGACGGGGAACAGACATGGCGTAGGTGACTGGTGCTCTCTGCCACCCTTCCAGTCTTCCCTCCCTCTTTTAAACTTTTGCCAATTTTCTTAACTTGGTTCTCAGTTGTTTTAGGGCAGGCTCTCTACCACTTGAGCCACTCCACCAGCCCAGTTTTGTGTTGGGTATTTTTGAGATAGGGTCTCATGAACTATTTTCCTGGGACTGGCTTTGAACTGTGATCCTCCTGATCTCTGCCTCCTGGGTAGCTGGGATTACAGGGGTGAGCCACGGTGCCTGGCTGGGGATGAATTTCTAACGGTACAGTTTCAGGTGTCTGTGGTCATCTGACGCTAAGGAGGAGACAAGTTAATAGACAATGTGCTTTACGTGCAGAAAGCTACACTTTGTCACTTTGTCCCCCGAGTCTCACTTCTGTCTTCCTTGGATGTCACAGCTGGATAAAATGATGCCTCTTCACCGCTGAGCTTCAGGCTGCTGCAATCTCCGAGTCAGTGAGTTTTAAGCCTGGCTGTGCGTGAGAATGAAAAGACCCCACTGTCCAAAACACGGACATGGGCTGCAACACGGTCTCCAGGGCTGTTATCAAAGCTGTACGTATTTTGAAAAAAGCCCATTTCATACTGGTGGGCATTCGGTGTTGAGAGCTGGGGTTTTGACACATGTTTGATGAGTGTGCACGCAGCAAAGGCCTGGGCTGAGGACGAGGCTCAGTGGCAGAGCAGGCGTGTAGCAGGCTCAGAGCCCTGGGCTCCATCCTCAGCACCACGAAAAGCTGGGGTGGTGGGGAGTCCAGTGCCAAGAAAGTCCCACCCCACCCCACCCCAACCTCCATTAGCTCCACTTAGGAAACCAGGCCTGTGACAATAGGGACGGTCTGAAATTCTCCATCGGTTTCTGAATCGGGACTTTGCGGTTGAGGACTTGCTGCTCTGGTTATGGGGTGTCTGATAACGGGGTGTCTCCCTGAGTTGCCTGGAAAGGGTTTTGCATTTTGCTGAATCAGACTTTCCCTCAAACCCTCTTTCTAAAATGGTGGGTGGAGGGGAGTCCTGTGTAAGAGAGGAAAAAAATCCCTCCTCTGTGTTCAGTGACTGGGGCTTGGGGATTAAGTTGACAAAGAGACAAACAGGAGAAAACTCTTATTTTCTCGCTCATCAGGGGTTGTGCAGAAAAGAAGCAAAAATGCCCCAAGGAAGTGGGTAGGCCTGGGAGGCTCTGTGCTGTCTTTGAGAGGGTGGTAAGTTATGATAAGACAAGGAAAAGGAATTTGGGCTCCAGGAGGAGCAAATGGGGAAGAGTAAGTATGTGTGTGAGCCTAATGGAAGATAAGACTTGTTTTGATAAACTTTGCTTAGGGAAATTCATGGCAGTGCTGACTTTCTGTGTCCTGTGATAAGGGTCGTTCTCTTATCACAGGGATGGAAGGAGGGGCGTCTTCACAAATGACATTTATGCCCTTCTTTTGGGCAGGAAGGAGATGGCAGAGGATTCGTTTGTCTGCTAGCTGAGTGCCTTCAAGCTGAAAATAACTCTTATGTCAAGATATTTTTGGTGGCATCTTCTGATTCTCCAGAGCAATGGAACTTTGGGAAAACCCAGATAAATTTTGGGAACTCCAGATTCCAACTTCAGGAAGACTAAGACACTTGACTTAGGGTTCTCCTCCAAACACATTCAGTAAAGATTCATATTTGTGGACAGAGAGTCTGATGGACCCAGCTTGACGTGGAAGGTCAACTTTGTGGTGGTTGGGGTAACAGAGCCTTCTGGTGGGGTGGCCCAACAGAACCGTAGAGAACTGCAAGATGGGAAATATGTCTCCAAGAAGGAGAATAAATGACATTTATAAGCTCCTACAAACCTGCTAAGACGTTGGTTGGAGCACATCCCTTGTCCTATGTAGGAGAAAGATGGTAATTTCACATCTTTTATTGATGCTCCAAAGATAGCCAGGGTCCAAGCACAATATGGTCAGCTGCAAAGTCCAAATGTTATGTCCTTCAGGAGAACCTGAAAGGATTTACAAGTTTCATGGTTGGACATGAGTTTTGGAATGGGTTTTGAGAATATTTCACCAAAGATGAGACCCAAAGTACTTCTGTGGTCGTATTTTACAGAGACACAACATCAGGTGGCCTAGCGCCAGCCAGCTGTGGCTCCGTGGTGCAGTTTGGAGTCAGGAACAATAATGCCTCCAGCATTGAACTTTTTGTTCAGAATTGCTCCGGCTATTTGTGTTGCATGGCGCCATTTTTAAATTACGAGGTCCTCAAGAATAAAATCAACAGTCAGTCGTGCATGGGTGGAAAGAGACACTTGACTTAGACTCTCACATTAGGAAACAGGACGTCTTGCAGTGTGGGTGAGAGCATCCCATCAATGAGCCTCTGCAGTGAGTCTCTGTACATTCTAGACTTGTCCATGTGCAGATCCTGCTCAGGTAAGATTTGCAGCACAGAGAAGCAGAGCAGAGCCAGTGGGCCGAGCCACACCTGTTCAGGTGCTCTCCTCCCACCTGGCCCCGGAGGTGAGTGCTACGGGGCTTCAGCTTGGACCTAAAACTGCTGAGTCTTTTCTTCATTTCTTCTTCTTCTTTTTAATGTTTTTGTTAGTATGTGATCACTATAGTTACACAGGGGGCTCCATGTGACAGTTCCATACATGCTACAGTGTACCCCGGTTTGGCTCCTCCCTCCATCCTCCCCCCTCGTCCCCCACCCCCTTCTTAAATGACTTGGACAGGGTTCAGTGTCCCACGTTCACACAGGTGTAGAAACACATCCATTTTCACCTCCTTTACCCTCCTCCCTTGCCCTCCCTCCACCAGCGTCCTCCCCAACACGACCCGTCCACGTTCCCGTCCTTCACTGTCTAAGCTCTGTTCACTGTTCATGGTTTTCTCTTGACATTTTACTGCAAATGCATTGTGCTAAATCAGGGTAACCCCACTCTTCCTCACCCTTCCCCATCCTGTGACGTTCAACCGTTTTCAGTGTTTTGTTGTGTCTTGTTCCCACACAGACGTGATGTGTCTGCACAGTTGTGTGTGTCTACACAGATGTGATTTATTTCAGTATTGCTCAGTCTTTATCATTCTTTTCCTCTTTCCCCCTGCCCTAGTCTACTCTACTCTCCCACTTTTGGAAACACGTTCTGTATATACTTACATCTAGATATATGCATACATAGATGTAGTTATATATTACCTATTTATTTATATATGTAATATATATTTATATATTACATATATAAATAAATATAAATAAATAAATAAATAAAATAAATATATTTATTTATTATATATAAATAAATATTTATTTATTTATATATAATATATATATTTATATATATTATATATATTTATATATATTATATATATAAATATATATTATATATATATATATGTGTGCTAATGCTTGCATTTGTATTGGATCTATCGTCCACATCCCAAGTCCTTTCTTACAACTGGGCCGACAGGCCATTGCATCTGCCCATCATATTTAGACATGATAAGTGCACTAGCTCACTGAATGCAAGAACGGGCACACAGTCAGTATTCATTACAGTAAGAGCATTTTTATTAGTCGTAGTAATGCACGGGAGGCTGTGTATATCAGAGAGACTCTGGTGTGGAACCATGGGGGCCAGTCCTGCTCCTGTTGTTCACTAAACAACTCGAGAGGTCGTCTTCTCTAGGGCCTTACTTCCTTCAGCTGAGAATGGTCTCACATCTCCTGTTGGATGTCCCCGACGCACAGACACAATGCAAAGGGGATTTCCTGGGGTTGCACTGTGCGGAAGCCCTGCAGTGGTGGCTTCCTTCAATGGCGGAGCCCGGGAAGAACTGAGAATTTCACAGCTTGGAGTCAGTGCTGTTCGATCACCCTCCCCACAACCAAGGTGAAACCCATTAGTCAATGCAGAACGCTTGTGCATCTTCTGAATGTCTAATCTCTAATGGGAACTGACCTCTGGGGTCCTGAACTTTGAGCATCTGGAGAGGAACTTTCTGGAAAGCTGCAGTCACATCAAAAACATGGGGGGAAACAAGAGGACCAGCTGCTGCCAAGGAAAACTCCATTTTTCATGAATGGTACAGGGGAATTACTACTGGAGACGGTTGCCTAGCAACCTTCCCCTTCCCCTTCCCATCATCTTTGACTCCCTCCTTGCCTACTTCTGACATCTGTTTCTTCTTCTTGGGATTTTTAAACTTTTTAAAGCCCGGTGTTTATTTATTTATTTGTATTTTGAGAGGAGCTCTCTCTCCAAGTTGCTCAAGGCTGGCCTCAATCCTGGCCTCCAGCAATGCCCTGACTCAGCCTCCCCGGTGGCTGGAACACTGGGCAGACCCCGCCATGCCTGGCTCGTTCTTCTTGCCATATTGTTTCGATGTCTGAAAAAGCAGTGTCATTTGGAAAACATGCTATCTGGACATCTTCCTTAAGGAGTTAGTGGCCCACTTTTGCCAACTATGTAACCAAAGTATATGTTTTGGTTGGGAGAAGAATTTGAAAAAGGAAATGGCTAAAAACCCTACCTTCTGATGACACTGTGCTCGGCTGCTGTCATTGTCACAGCAGTCGTTTGGGTGGATGTGTGGAGTTTCTGGCTAAGTGGCACGGTAGACAATTTGCCTAGCTTGTGCAAGGCTCTGGTTCTGATTCCCAGCTCTGAGAAAAAAAGGCTGAATATGGTTTTCTTTATTTTGGAAAAATATTTAACAGCTGGGCCTCTAAAATAAGCAAAAATGAATGCTAATTGACAGCATTTGTCAAGATCTGTGGTGTGAACTTTTCCATGACAGTCATTTTTAGGGTACCATTGTGCTGTTCCTGAAGGCAGAGTTGATTGTGTCGTTGGTTTTTTTTTTGGTGGGACTGGGATTTGAACTCAGGACTGAGCATTTTGACACCTGCCAGTGCAAACCCCAAGAGGATTGAGCCTAAAGAATACCGTGTTCAGACCCACGCAAAAGCAACCAAACTCAGGTAATCTTGAACTTTATTACTTATTATTATTATTATTATTATTTTAAGGCAGGTCTCAATAGGCAGCCCAGACTGTCCCTAAATTTGTGACCTTTCTACCTCAGTGTCCCTAGCAGCTGAGATTACAGGCACGCAGCATATATTGCCATTACTGCTTATCTTTGTAGGCTGCATATTGGAAGTCACCCTCAAATAAAGCAGGTGGCAAATTCTCACTTACCTATATGTAGAGAGGACATCAGGAGACCTGGCCCCCAATACTCTGGAAAACCTTCAGGAAAAAATCTATTTGACCTTTCTTTAAAGATCACTGATGCTTGGGATGTTGACTGCATTTCTTAGATTTTATGAGAACAGCTGTCTTTGAGGGATGGAGTAGAGGAACCTTTCCTGCTTCCGTCTGACATTTTGACAAGGCTAGGAGCGTGGGAAGGACACTGGACTCAGTTCAGAGGACTTTGCGAACTTCCTTCCCTTCTCTTGCCCATCTGTAAGGGTCATGTGCTGTGGGCAGAGAGCAGTAGATTGGAAAATGATGGCCTTTGTGTGTCAACCTTAATCCTGGTGCCTACTCACTGGGCAATCCCTGAATGGCCTCGCAACTCCCAGTTGCAGTCACCTCTGATGGTGTGAACAGCTGGTATCTGCCTCCTCCCCCTTCCTGAGGTGATCAGTGGTGGTTTTTCATGACAACAAGACATGACAGGTCACTTTCTTTTAACTTATTTATTTATATTTGTTATCATTGTGTTGGGGTATGTTGTGACATTTATAAAAGTTCCCAATATGTCATATACCAAATATGTCATAGTTGAATTCGCCCCCTCCATCATTCTCCTTTATCCTCCTTCCCTCATTCCTGGAATAGTTTCAACAGGTCTCATTTTTCCATTTTCATACATGAGTGCATAATATTCCACCACATTCACATCCATTCATCCACCCACCCACCCATCCAGCCATCCATCCAGCCATCCACCCATCCAACCATCCATCCACCCACCCACCCATCCAGCCATCCATCCAGCCATCCACCCATCCAACCATCCAACCATCCATCCACCCATCCAACCAGCCAGCCAGCCATCCACCATCCATCCACTCATCCAACCATCCATCTATCCATCCACCCATCCATCCATCCACCCACCCACCCATCCAGCCATCCAGCCATCCATCCACTCATCCACTCATCCATCCATCCATCCATCCATTCACCTATCCATCCACCCATCCACCCATCCGTCCAATTCTTCATAGTTGAATTCACCCCCTACATGATTCTCCTTTATCCCCCTCTCCCTCCATTCCTGGAATAGTTTCAACAGGTCTCATTTTTCCATTTTCATACGTGAGTGCATAATATTCCACCATATTCACCTTCCCATACCCTTTCCTTATATCCTTCCCCTCCCACTGGTGCTGACCCCCAGAAAGGTCCTGTTCTGCCCTCCTTTTCTACAATTTTGTTTAAAAAATGACATTTTTGTTGTTTAAGATAGCTCTACAAGGAGTTTCATTATGACATTTCCATGTACATATGTATTATAACCCAAATTGGTTCATTCCCTCCATTTCTCCTTCTTATGGTGATTTCAACAGGTTTAAAAATTCTACATTCATTCTTGCATAGAAAGTACATCAGCCATATTCACTTTCTTAACTTCCTTCTTTAACACTCCCTCCTTGTTTATGACCTCGCCTTAGTGTAACCTGTTTTTCGTATTATTGCTGTGTTTGTATTTGGTTTGTATTCCGCATATGAGAGAAAACATGGTGGCCTTTGTCTTTCTGAACCCGGCTAATGTCACTTAAGATGTTGTTCTCCAATTCCACCCATTTATCTGCCAATGACAAAATTTCATTCTTCTTTGTGGCTGAATAAAATTCCACTGTGTATAAATACTATAAATACCACATTTAACTTACTGGTTTTTAACCATAGTGGGGAGAGCCCTCTGCACAACTGGAAGAGATGCTTTATATTTGGTTTATCATTCTTTTCCCTTGTTTTAGAGGAGACTATAGCACTCAGACATCGATCCAAATCAAAGCCTCATTTGCTCAGGTGCTTGGTTTGTTGGTTGAATGAAAGAAGGACTTGCTTCTGATTGCCAGCTGTCTCCTGAGTGTGAGCTAATCTATATTCATCTGTGACTAGGAAATGCATAGTTAATGAAGCCCTATGTTGTCACTCGTCGTGATAGTTTTCATCTTAGAAAGCTGGTGTCTCAAGATAGAGCATGTTTAACACACAATTCAGTAATGTTGGTAAACCTCCAGCAATTATTCCTGGACATTATGAGGTTTTCTCCTACTTCTTTTCAGCTCCCCACCCACCCCAGCCCCGTCCTCACAAAGCACGAGAAGAGCCTAAGGTGAAGGAGGCACCCACCTGCTGCCTCTGCCTGCCCGGGAGAACCAGGACAATCCAGCGCCTTCTCAGCCTTGCAAGCAGCAATGGAGTGGGGGGTCCCTTTGTCAGTGCACGGTTCAGCGCTCTGTGATTGGAACTTCTCTCTTGGCACTGGGTACCTGACCTTCCAGTTTCTCAGGAGCATATTGGAAGAGTTCCCATCAGGAAGAGGACACTGGCTTCTGGCAAGACTTGGCCATGGGATTAGAGCAGATGACAGTCACAGTTTCTATGTTCCTGGATCTGAGAGGCAGCTGGCCATTGGCAAAGTCCTCAGGGAAGACTCCAGGCAGAGAGGATTTGACTCAGCTTCTATCTAATAAGAGACATAGAGACATAGAGTGTCAAGAGTGACTTAACTCTTCTTGGGATGGAGAAAAAATCACAACCTGTGTGACACACAGGACTGGCTTAGACTTGGTGTTACCACCTGGCTTTAGCATATTAGACAAGTCACTTCACTTTTGGAGTGTCAATTTTCTGCGAAGAAAATGAGTTGAACAAAACACTTGCCAAGGGTCCTTCTAGCTCCAAGATTCTTGGCTCAATTATGTATGTCCCCTTTTAGAGCCCTGCTTAGTGGGGATCATGGTTCGAAGCCAGCCTGGGCAAATAGTTTGCAAGACCTATCTCAAAATTACCCAACACAAAACAGGGCTGACAGAATGGCTGAAGTGATAGAGCACCTGCCTAGCAAGCATGAGGCCCTGAGTTCAAACCCCAGTACTGAAAAAACAGCTTATCATTAATAGTACAGGGGCATTGTATCGTACTCTGAACAAGTTACTCCTCCTACATTCCCTTGCTTTCCCTTCCCAACCCCCCTTCCTTTTGCCATCTTTATAGATGTACATGAGGTACATAGAAAAATAATTTTGTTTTGCAGGTGTGGGGTTTGAACTCAAGGCTTCGCCCTTGCAAAGCAGGAGCTCTACTGCTTGAGCCACACCTCCAGTCCATTTTGCTCTGGTTCTTTTGGAGATGGGGTCTTGGGAGCCATCTGTCTGGGCCAACCTTCAGCCTCCTGCTCTCAGTCTCCCAAGCAGCTGGGATGACAGGAGTGAGCCCAGCTCCATGTAGAACTTTTGGAGGGTCAGCTGCCTCCCACATCCCAGAGGCAACTCATGCGTCCCTCTTTCAAAACTCACCTTCCCGCTCCATTGTGTGAGGTTTCCAGGATCGCGTGATACCCACCTTACTTAGTACAGCTTTAGCTCGTCTGCCTCCTCACTTTTTTCTCTTATCTCACCTAAGCTGGGAACTCTCAGGGCCGCGACACTACTTTTCGTCATCCCTGATGCATGGCTCCTGAAGTTCACCGCGGGACCCCATTACCTGATCACCACCCACCGTTGCTTCCACCACCCTTCCTCCAGCGTCTCTAAGCCTGCAGTTCTCCAACTGCACCAGGACGCTCATCCTTTGGTCCTGACTTATTCTCACCATCGAATTTCATTCCCTTCTTTCCCAGGTCTGGGTCCGGCGCCCATCTCTACAGTCACTTCTTGCCCATGCGGTGAACTTTGTAGCCCAGTGGATCAGTCGTCTAGGAGACGCTCAACCATGATGAAATCTGAATCTCCACCTCGTCTGTAACCTTCACTCGAGCAGCTGAGTATTGCAGGACACCACCACCTGGCTGCGTTGACGACATCTTGCTTTGGTTTTAGCACCACGAATCTCAATGGTACATTTTTAAGCTTGCCTCGTCGGTTGGTTTGCCTACCATTTTATATGACTGTCATATTCACTCCCCTCCTCCCTCTTACTGTCCTGGCCACCTGTCCTGGACCTGTACACGGTTGTCTTCCTGCACCTCCCATCTGTCTCCTTAATCCCTGTGAAGGAAAGGCAGCAGCTCTACTTTGGGCTTGGGTTTCATTTCCTCTTATCTCACTCCTGAGTGAACTCACTCCTGAGTTCTTGCTTTCTTTTTCCTTTGGACCTGCATCTTTGGCACATCTTGTGCTGGCCTTGGGACACAATGACTAACGAGACACCATTCCCTCTGTGAAGCCCTTGCAGGTATCGAGCTAGAAGACCTTAGGGCGGGTGCCTCTCTCAGGAGAAGTGCAAGCTTCTGTGTGGACACAGGTAACTCAGGGACTTGTTGGATTGGGGAGTGGGAAGCAGGAAAGTCACTCCCGTGTTCAGTGGAGATGTAACAGCAACGCTGTAAATCACCGGTGTTAATTTTCTTTCTTTTTTAAATTTTTTAGACAGAGTCTTGCAGTGTAGCCCATGCTGGCCTCAAACTCGAGTCTTCCTACCTCTGCCTCTCTTATTCTCTTTAACAGTAATCTTATATTTCCTCATATTGGAACCCCAGACTCTATGTTATTTTTTACAAAGTGGATCCTCTTACCTGTATAAGGTCAGTCATATTTCTTGGGGAAGACTCATGACAAAAATCCATGTATGTCTTTTCCATGTGGCTTTTTTGTACTTTATCATGGAGAAGATTTTGTGAAGCTGAAATGTCCTATTGCCTTCTAATTCTGTGTTTTGTCATCTTGCTCGTAAGACCTTCCTTCTCAAAACCACACTCTTCCATCCATTCACCTGACACTTAGTAATGGAGTATCTGCAATAATAAAAGAATTTCTGTCGGCTCTGAGCTTACATATACAGTACCCTCCTTTGGGCAATTTTCAATTTTAGTTGGAGAAGGAAGCCAACGACATTTGAACACATTCCTTTAATAGGTTCAGATTGTCACCATGGCTTTGGAGGACATAAGCAATGATAAGACTGATACCAGTGGGGAAGGGGTAAGAGGGTTACCTGAGATAGATAGATAGATAGATAGACAGACAGACAGATAGGAGTCTAAGAGAGATGACGTCTGATGGATGAAGAGGAACCAAGCAGAGCTGGGGCTGGAGCTCAGTGGTAGGTTGCTTCCCTACTATGTGCAAAGTCCTGGGGTCCAGCCCAGCCCACAGCCAACCCATGCCTGGGGGAAGATATATTCAATCAGAAGGACAGTGAGGGACCCTTGCTGTAAAGCAAGGGAGGTGTGGTGCAGTGAGGTAGGAGAGGGAGCCAGCGCGCCATCTTGTTAAGGCATCGAATTCCCAGGACAGTGAGAAACTACAGACAGGTCCTGAGTAGAGGAGGACGAAGGGGACACCCGGTCCCTGACAGCTGCGAAGGTAGTTCCTCCTGCCTTAGGAGGAACTGTAAAGTTGCCCACCTGAGTGCAAATCGTCTAAAAGAGTCTGAAACTTTCTGGAAAGCTTTCGCTTGGGAATCAAAACCAAATTTTCTACTTCCCCACTTAGGCTTTAGAACTGGAATGCTGACATGAAAGTGCATGTGTCACACCTGTGCTTTCAACAGGAGCCTGTATTTAAGGCAATGTGTTGGAGGTTTCTTTCAGAATAGATACATTGATTTTGCTTTGGGGATGCTTTATTTTAAAGTGAGGTGCAATGGTCTGAATGTTCCAAAAGCAGGATTCTTTCATTCTTTCCACAAACACACGAAAGTGAAGGCGATTGACCAGGTGTCTTACAGGAAATAGGATTTTGTAAGAAATAGTCTCAAATGCACTGGGGAAGATAAGGCATGAACATAAGTCATATTAATGCAATAGAATTCTTCAGGGAGTTTGATGGGTTATTGCCACACTGCACAAGGGAGCTGTCCTTGGCTGTGAGGGTGGCCTGGGAAGACTTGGGATGTCACCAGGGTGGAGAGCTCCACAGTACGCATAGGAAAAGGGACTCTACAAAGACAAGAATGGTTGGGCATATTTGGGATAAGCCAACGCTACATTTGGACACAGGCTGAGGTAGACTTAGGGCAGAGGAAGAGCATGGCTTCCTGGTGCTGGTCAGGACAAGAGTGTCAGTGCTTTCTCGTTATTCTCAGAACTCAATGCCTTACTTATGATGCCCAGTTGGTCACTCTGTGGACTCCAGTTGGAGCTGTACCCATGGAAATGTAGATTTGAAGCTGTGTACCGAGTCCCTGGCTTGACTGGACACGGTTTGTCCCCACAACTTCCCAGGTCCCTTTTGTCACATCTGAGCACCTATCCCCAGGAGGCATCCTGTGCTTTTCTTGCCAATGGTCCCAGAGGGTTCTGTCTTGCAGAGGACTGCCCTAGGGCTGCCAGGCCACCTTACTTGCAGGAAGGATCAAGGTGCTGGTAGTTCCTTCCATACAGTGTACCTCCTTCCTGGTATCTCCAGGTAGATCATGGATGCCAGCCCACTGGCCTCAGGGAAGGACGACTCTGGACCTAATTTTCCTTTCAGAGTTCCTTGGTGGGATCAGGCTGAATCTACTTGGTGGGGCTTGGCCTGAAATTGGGCCAGGCCCTACTCAGCCTCCTCCTCTCCCTGTCTCACTTCCTCACTTCCACTCTGGCTCTTCTGGAGAGACCCCTTTAATGAGTCCTCAGACATGAATTCTCCCTCTAGAGTCTACTTCCAGGGAACCTGACCTGATAGGCTGACTTTAATTTCCCTAGGAAGGTGCAGGAATGGCCGTAGGGTGGGTCCTTGTGGGACCAAGGGAAAAATGGTTTTACTGGAACAGTGAGACAACAGCTGACTGAGAGGATTAAGAAGGGAGTGGGTGCTGTGACAACTTTCCATTCTTTTTGGGCGTCCTGCAGTGTTTGAAGGCCCTTATTATGTTGGAGATATTTCCAGCTTCTTGTTTCTTGCCTCATCAAAGCAGAACCTCAGAAAATGGGAGGAAATTGCTAGCATCTTTTTTTCAGGTGGGATGCAAGGGTACCATGCATCAGACTCACCCGTATCAACCATCTGTTCGGAAATGAGCAACTCGGGAAAGGCACCTAGCGCAATCCTTTATAATTTTTGTTGAGTAGGTGGCAGCTGAAGTTTTCTGAGGATCGGTGGTTGTGAGATTGTGGTCCTAGGCTGTGAGGTGGGTGTGACAACGGTGATGTAGGTTGCTCAGTGGGTTGGTGGTGACAGAAGCACAGCAATGGAAATTGTTTTCTCTTAGGCCAGTTCTGGGGCCTGCTGTGGGATTCTTCCTGGAAGACTGGCTTCAGTAACCTGGTTATCCAGCCCTCCCGACAGTATCTTTTCAATAAATTCCTCTTCTGAGTACTTGGAGTCAACCTCCATTGCTCCTGTAGGAGCTCTGCCTGAGACAGCAGACCAGGAATGGTGGCAGTGGTACGCAGATTTTCTAACACCATCTAAAAATGAGAGCGAAGGCTAGTAGACGGAGCCAGCCTCTCAGATGGCCCCCCATGGATGACCACTCCTTTTCAGGTTTGTGTCGTTCAGTGGTCCCCTTCCGTGTTAAAGCAGGGCTGGTGTGTGACTTGTAGAACTCAGAGGAGGTGACAGAGTGTGGTTGCCACAGCCAGTTCATACAGACACCATAGCTTCTGAATGGGTTTCTTGGATGGCTCACTCTGGGGACGTCAGCCACCATACTGGCTGTGCCGTGGTGATGTCCACACAGCGGGGGACGCACTTGTCAGCACCAGTCCTTCAGTTATGTGGGTGATCCCACCTCGAAGGGAGCCAACTGCCCATGCACTGTTCAGACACCACAGCCCCAGAAAAACTATGACTGCAGCCTTGTGAGAGCCCAAACCCACAGCTTAACGACAGAAACCAAGACAGACAAGGAATCTGAAGGCTGTTTTAAGCCGCTGAGTCTTGAAGTGGGTTATTATGCAGCAATCGATGGCGGAAAGGTAGTGTTTGAGGAGGGTTTGTTTGTACAGGGCAGGGGAGAGCTGAGCCTGTCTACAATGAGAAGAAAGGGACAGAGCTCACGGGGAAAGAATGGTGATCTAAGAGAAAAGATTGCTGAGCCACAGTGCAAGGTTCAGAGAGGGAGGAAGGAAGGAGGAAAGAAGGAAGGGAGGAAGGAGGAAGGAAGGGAGGAGGAAGGGAAGAGGAGGGACGGAAGGAAGGAAAGGAAGAAGGAAGGAGGAAGGGATGGGATGGAGGAAGGAAGGGATGGGAAGGAAGAAGAAGGAAGGAAGAGAGGGAGGGAGAAAAGAGGGAAGGAAGGAGGAAGACAGGGAAGAAGGAAAGAAGATAGGGAAGAAGGAAGAGAAGAAGGAAGGAGGGAGAAAGGAAGGAGAGTGAGAAGAAAAGGAAGGAAGGAGGAAGGGAGAGAGAAGGAATGAAGGAAGGGAGGAAGAGAGGGAAGGAGAGAAGCAAGGAAGAAGGAAGGAAGAGAGGATAGAAGGAGGGAGAAAGAAGAAGAGAGAGAATGAAGAGAGGGAGGGAGAAAAGGAAGGTGGAAAAGAAGGAGGGAGAGAGGGAGGAATGGGAAGGAGGAAGGAAGGAAGGGAGGGAGGAATGGGAGGAAGAGAGGGAGGCAGGAAAGAAGGAATGGAGGGAGGGAAAGAAGAAAGGAGGGAAGAAGGGAGGAAGGAAGGGAGGGAGGAATGAAACAGCACTAGCTTTGGAGGGAGGAGGAACTTCTTTCTTTGCCATGGACTTAAGCTAGCTGGAGTCCAGGATGAGCATACCGTGGACATAAACTGGACCGTGACCATCAGCCATGACGGAGGGGCGTGGAGTCCTTGGGTGTACTTTTTAACCATCCTACCAAGTTCATGAAACAGTGCCATTGTTCTCATAATTTCATAGACGAAGAAGCTGACACTTCCAGGCCTTGAGGACCCCGTTCTGTTCTGTCAGGCAGCAGAGGACACACGGTCCTGACACTTTCAACACCCCCTGCATGGTTTACCCAGGACCAACTGTTCTGGGAAGATTAAAAGTGAGTCAGCTGGAAAAGGAGACTGTTTCTTTGGGGAAATGTAGGACGCTGGACCTTTACAATTTCAGGGACAAAAATAGACACAAAGAGAAGCAGACTTTTTCCTAGAGGTTTAAGTGGCTTTTCAATTCCCCCAGAGGGTCGGATAACATCAACAAACACTTGCAGAATAGGCACTGTTTTCATCCATGGCAAGAAGTTTTGAAACGTAGGAAAGTCACTTGCCTCCTGCTGGTTTTGGGGGGAGGTAAAGCTTTGCAGACAGGGGTGGAGTGGCTCGAGCCCCACGTGTGTACTGATGTCTAACTGCATTAAAGTAACCAGAGACGGTCGCCTACCTGTCAGCTCTTGGTTTGGAAGCTTGATAAAAGGGGATCACTGCTGCCCAGGTTGGTCACGAAAATCAGGACCCCAGGGCTGGGTGAGGTGGGGGAGCAGAGGGTGCGGTCAGAGTACTTTAAGAAATGATTAGGATTAAGGAAACCTCACCATTAATAAATAAGTGACTCAGTTGAAACTTTAAAAAAATAATAGGGAACACTGGCAAATAAAAAAGTGGGGGAAGGAATAAGTGGTGCAGGAATTGGTCCGGGCAAAAGTCAACACCGTAAGTAGCACTGAAACAGAGGCTCACTGGGGGCCTCTGTGCACCGTTGTTTTGCCTTTTTTTATTGCATGTTCTGGAAAATGCTTTGCTTCAATAAAAAGTGTACCAAAGCATTGATTCCTACTCAGTGTGGACCTGCAAGTGATTTAATTATCTCTCCCCTCGTTCTGACTTCCTGTGGTGAGCATGACTTATGTTTGTAAGGAAATGCAGCCACGCTCTGTGCTGATGGGCCGTTTGCTTTTCGGTAGTTGGTAGGGTTCCAACCACAGAAGGTAGAGGATTCGCTTCTTTATGTATTTATTATTTTGGGGGGAGGCTTACTGGGGTTTGAACTCGGGGCTTCGCTCTTGCTAGGCAGGTTCTGTACTGGTTTTGAGCCTCCAGCCTGAAGATTAAACTCTTGTGTTCTTTCCAAACTGTGGCTGGGATCCTGCAGATGAATTTCAAGAATGTCTTAGTGAATCCCTCTCCATATCCCCCCCAAAAAAAGTGAGGTGAGAAGAGATGCCAATTCAAGGGTCCTCCAGCAGTTTTAACCCAGTGCTTCTCACACACAGATGCCCACGTCTGCTGTGGAGTCCTGGAGGTCCGACGGGGGGCCGAGGCTCTGCTTTTCTGATGAGCGAGCTCTGGGGGAAATGTTTGAGGCTCTTGGCCCATGGACCACACTTTGAGTGACAAGGTGAGATTCTTAATTTACCCGACTTTCCCTACCTGCAAATGCAAGCGGTGAGAAGCAAGCACTTAGCTGGTAGAGTGACATGCATGTAGGTGGGAGCCCACAAGTGGACTCTTTGTGGGGTTGTGGAGTCCTTAGGAAAGCCTCACGGTGCAAGCGCACTGACGTGAATATGGAGGTGTGTACACCTCTTTTGATGTCTGTGTGCTTTTGTGGGATTCTGGTGACCTTCTTTTAGGAAATTCCTGGCATTGTATAGCATCTCTCCTGTTGGAGTTGCATCAGTGATCCAGAGAAAGCACCAGTCCTTCCTCTTGTCTTTTTCCTTTTTAACCTTTCCCCAGGATCTCTGGTCTCCGAGTGTAAATGCGTGCGCTAACGCGAAAGTAAATCCCAGACGCCTATCCAGCAGAGAGGGATCTGGCTTGCTGGTAGAGTTTAAAAGATTTCCGGCATCTGATCTCTCTGTGCATGGCGATTTTCATCTCGTCCTGTCATGGGTAAATCCCATGGAGCGAGAGCTGGAATAACTTCTTTTGGAAGACGTATAAATCTTTGTGATGTAAGTCGTTGGGTCTTCGGAGGCCTCAGATCCTTGCAGAATCCAAACACGTAGTGCCTTCTGCTATGACAGGAGCAGGTACTTTTCAGAGCGTCATGGCCAGCTCCTCAGGGCACCAAACTCCATTGCCAGGGCTGGGGTAGGATTGGGATTTGGTTCTTTTCCGGGGGATGAGTGTTCTGAAATTTGGTAGCCATCCCACCTAACAGGAACCGTTGAAAACGGGCACAGCAATAACCGCCCCTCCAGAAAGCTTATTTGCATTCTTTGGAAATTCCCACGGTGCAAACCCTCCCGCTGTGGCTGACTTCTGTGACAATAAAGGGAAAATTGTGATGAAAGAGACATTGTAAGAACCTTAAAAATCGGAGTCGGGAGGCCATTAGAAAACCGCGTCTATGCAGCCAGCTGTTGGCTGGAATGGGAACTTTGGTCTCCTCCATCCTTGGACCACAGGAAGCTGGAGTTGCCCGCGATGTCGTGTGTCCAGGGGGTCAGACACATACCCAGGACACATATCCGGGACATTTCCCTTCTGCTCAATCAGCCACATAGCCCCTTTCAACACCCTGGAGTTCATGCAGCTCCCTGCTTCTCCTACCTTCCTTGGAACACTGACCTTGTGTTTCCCACATCGCAAGTTCCAGGACCCCAAAATGAAGTGCTTTGACTTCTGCACTTTCAGAGTTTGAAAACAGATGGGCATTTTCACGCCTCTGGATCCCATGGTGGCAATTGTGTGGGGTGCAGAGAAGAAGGGGTGAGGTGGAGAAATACAGGGGTGGGGGAAAGAAGGGGGGAGGTGGTGCTGAACTGTACAGGACTTAGGTGGAGCAGATGACAGATGGTGACGTCCACACAGTGCAGTGCCCTCTGGATGGTAGCACTGACAGGATATTTGCAGAAGGTAGGACAAGTTTCTGGACCAGGGAGACACCATGGCTGTCAGATGGAGGATTCAGCTCTAGGTGGCTTTGCTTGTGTCGCTGGCCAGTCCTGGGATTTTGAGCAAGTTCCTTAACTCTTCTGAGCCCAGCTTGAATCTACGGGAAACAAAGAGGAAATGTGAGTCGGTTTGGGCTGTTACCACTTCTCGGTTGTAAGGATGTGAAAATCTTAAAATCATCCCTTGTGCTCCCAAAGGGAAGTCATTTATTACATGAACTGGAATTTAAAAAAAAAATAAAAAAGCAGTGTAGACAGACACGGGCTCCCTGATCCACGTGGAGCCATTGCAAACACTGACTCAGTCTCTATTTCTTTATATCTGAGGGAAGACTGAATGCCCGATGGCTTTTGTCACTTTTAACCGTGTGCAAAAGTCACTTGACATCCAGTCGTCCTTTAGCTATCAGGAAGTAGGGGCTGAATCACTGTGCGTCATGGTTCTATGTGGTCAGGGAGACCTGGCAGCTGTTCCAAGGGACGGTCAGAAGCCCAGAAGACGTCTTACCTGGGACTTGCAGGTGGCCAGAAACTGTGTCATGGGAGAGTTTCAAAGTTAAGCTGGAATCGAGCTGTTAGGGCAAATGGATGAAAAGAAGTCTAATTCTGGGAGTCCAACTTACAGGTAGAGTTTGTCATTTGTGGAGAGAATGGAGATTGCAAGTAATCTGAAGGGTAAATTATCCCAATTAAATTCTTTCGACCCAGGGATTCTCCAGGAGGAATACGAGGAAGCACAGAGGGCCTAACAAGCACGAGGCCCTGAGTTCGATCCCAACACCACAAAAAGGAGAAAGGAATACTTGCGTGTACACGTGAATTAATGCACAGACATTCACTGCAGCAGTCTTTGCAAAAGCTAAAAGAGCATCATCGCCCACCAAGACGGAGTGAGAGTGGCCCAGCATTGAGGGGGAGGGAACAGGTGCAATTCTTGGCTTACTCTTTATTCTTCTGTGTCAAAATCTTTCCCCAAATAAGCCTGGAGGGATGGCTGAGCTCCTCCCCAGCAAGCGCAAAGCCCTGAGTTCAAACCCCGACACCACCACCACCACCAAAAAAAAGACATTTCCAAAGTCTCTCACACAAGAATGCAAACATGCTTACTTGTTCAGCTTACAAAAAAGGAAAAATGTAAAGAATTACACCAACATATTTAAGAAGTCACACCTAGATTAATAGCATCTTAGGTGTGTAATTTTCTATCATATTCAAATAAGCTGTAAGAAGCAGGTATTGTTTGTGTAATCAGAAGATTGAAAACCAGCACATAAATCTGAATGCTCCTGTGTGTTTGCACTTGTTTGTAAAAATATGAACAGCAAAAATAAATATCTGGCTTGAGGATACATTAGCGATTCCTTTTCTTCTGGTTTTCTTTCTTTTCTAAGTATTCTGTGACAAACACCCTTTCCTTTTAAACTTTACAAAGCTACTTTAATTTTATTTTATTTACTTTTAAGTTTTTGCAGTACTGGGATTTGAACTCAGGGCCTACCCTTTGATCCACTCCACCGACCCTTTTTTGTTTTGTTTTTTTTTCTTTTGTGATTGATTTTTGTGAGACAGGGTCTCACCGACTATTTGCTTGGCTGGCTTTGAACCACGATCCTCCCGATCTCTGCTTCTTGAGTAGCTGGGATTACAGGCGTGAGCCACTGACCCCTGGCACAAAAATATTTTTAAAGAATGCGTTGCCTATACAGTGAAGGCACTAAACACAAGAATACATTTGGTTTAAAGTGATTATTTCTCTTATTTCTTTTTCCATCTTTGAAAACTTAGGATAAAATGAGGGTCTCAAAAACAGACTTCTGCTGTTTCCATCTTGGTACTGTCTAAAGCAAAACTATGATAATTCCCTTACCTCTTACCAGAAGGAACACCATTGGGCTGGGATGTAGCTCGGTGGTACAGCGCTTGCCTAGCATGCGTGAGGCCCTGGGTTCGATCCCAGCACCAAAAAAGAAAAGACAAAAAAAAAAAAAACCTCTCCCCAGAAGGAACACCATCAAACTCTAGCCGTGACGCCTTTTCTAAAGAGATCGACCCCCCCATCAGTGATCCTTTGGGGCTTTTTTTTTTTTTTTTAACAACCCAGGTCAAGCACAGACTTCCAAATGGATTTCTGACCATCAACTTTACAGGAGAAAAAGCCTTTTT